CTCACTGGGGTGCAGGCACATCCAGCTAACGAGTCCCAAATAAGACGAAACGTGCATCCTGGATTCCTCTGTTAGACATAATCAGGTAAATTACCATAAATTAGCATTGACTTTTATTTATAACTCCTGATTTTCGTCTTCTTCAACTCTTTGTATTCACTAATTTTACATCATCTTTTGTGGTATAATTCGTGTGCTATTAATTCCTGATTAAAGTATCCAATTTTTCAGCTTAGGCTGAATACCACTGATGAATATTCATAAAATAAGATAATATCATTTTATTCGGCGGATCTACTTCTTACTTTGTTTGAAGAGAAGGAAATTATAGTCTTAATTATGGAGGTAAATAATTGCCTTAAAATGCATCGAAATCAACTGCATTTCAACCGTTTTGAAACCTGTTTGCTTTTCATCGATATTCAAGCTGATGACAAAATCTGGCTTGAACATAAAGTACTTGACAACAAAAACAGAATACAACTCATTTTTGACAAGTCTTTCAGACAGAAATCGACTAACAATACATCTAATAATCTCGATCTACGCAATATTTTTCTCATGTACGATTGTTTAGAAGCTGTTAAACAGAACACTTTAATTCCTAGTGCAAGACGTTTACTCACCATATGATGCTATTGCTTTCTTACGTAAACTGAAGAAACTAGTGGTTTTGTACATCGTAATTTATTTGATTTTAACGTAGTTTAGCTTTGAAAACGAAAACTGGTAGAGCCAGATCTTGTCTGTTTGTTTAAACTTAGATAGATTGACATAATACGGTAAACTTTGGCACAGTTTATCGGTTTAAGTTGCCATGCTTTACAGAAGCAGGCGTATAAAGAAGTGCGTATAAAAAGATAAAGGATATGAGAGAATGAACAAAGGAACGTTGCTGAAAATGTTTAAAGCATCGAGGATTAGAAAAAGCACATACCTATGCGATATTGTGATCGACTTTTAGCCGTATTATCATGAGTCTTTAATCACTGATCCCCACTGTCTGCAGAACCCCAGACAGGCAGATTACACCTCCCTACATGACTCAGATAAACAGTTAAAGACTCTATAAACAGCTGCCACATCTTATTATGGTTACAACCAAGATATGGTGTATAGTTAGAACATGCAGAACCTGTTTTTATTTCAAGATAAATCGCTGTCCATACATATCTATTCCATTCAATATCCTTTTTAGCTTGATTGTGCTGATTCACCTAATTTGTTTCAGCATCTAGCCCTTTATCCCTCTAATTTGATGATATGGTGTGATAAAAATGTATTCGAAAAGCCGTGATTGCCATACTCAGTAGGAATACATTGTTTTCATTGCAAAGTGGATGGGTGAAAGTGAAAAGCGGTTCCGCTTGCGTAACACGCATTTCAGACACTATAGTTAATGAAGGCTCATAACCTTACCGACAGAATCTTTTTCCTGATCCAACACTTTGTTTGACTGTGATCGCACCATGGTTTCACCAGTTGTAATCGACAATACAATGGTAATGAAGCATACTGATGAGCAGTGCAAGGAAAATGTGAATTTATCACCAACACCTAAAGTGATGTCAGCTGGCAAAAATCGGTCAATTTTTATATCGTGAATCCTTGTTCGATGCTTTGGGTGATATATACACAGTGATATGTTGTTGGGCTAATTTGTTTACTGAAGCTACCAAACTAAGCGTTAGACCTAATCCCGTTAAGTTACATTACATTTATAATGTTTCAACTAACATGATAGTAAATGCAGTGATCAAATCTCACTAAAAAGCAACAAAGCGGAGAAAATATAGTTGTATAATATGACGTACAAAAGTTACTGAAGCTTCCAATATTAAAATGAAATGCATGTGAAGATAACTAACATGTTCTGAGTATAGTGAAATACCTATTATGAAACTTTACTCCTAGTTAGTGGTATTATTAGCTACTACTCGTACCACTGCTCACCACAGTCAGGAATTAGTTAGATAATAAACCAAAAGTGAAAACGAATAGCTGCTTTGGTCTACTTTGTGAAGCCGCAGCTCATTAATCTAGGCTCTTGGCTCTCAACCATTGGTTCATGGATTCATACCTCACTCCCACCAACCACATGGACGTGGTTGCTGTGTTGTGTTTCAAATTAATTATAACAGTTTCCAGAAATCAAGTGCATTCGCATGAATGTTATTGATTTAAGGTTGTACGAATAGTCTCCAGACTCCGAAACTTCACTATGCAACTGAGATTAACAACCCTTAAATTCCTAAGCCATGATCAGCTTAACTATAGGAAAGTTATCAAGCTTTCACCTAGGATTAATCTACTGAAACCAAAAAGCAATGTTAAAAAGCGTGGATGGTCAAAGGAACACAAATAGTATTTTCAAACGAACGCTTCATGGCAGGTTTAAGAAAAAGCAAAGAAAGCAGCATAACATACAAAGGTATTTCGAGCTAAAAGAGAAGACTTGAATTTGACGAGTTCCTAAGTATTGGTAGTTGATGTAGCAGAAAACGACTGAAATATAATTATGCGTTATGAAAATCCGGGATCGGGAATCATAATCCACTCAGTTACCTTGCGCACATTTGTGCGGTAGGCACCGGGCCACATCTATTGTGAGGACTAGTGATACTACCTGGCTGCCCAAATCTCGGCAGATGGAGCGGTGTCTGAACCCGTGAGTCAACGGTTGATAGTCAACTCCCTAAACCAATAAGCCACAACTCCACATCTTACTAAATCAGTAAATCACGTTTCATTGTCATTGTCATAAGAAACAAACTTTTACCGTGAACAAGGACTGAAAATAATGAAGTAACTCTTGGTTAAACCAGTTGCTCAGCACTTCATTTGTAATAAATTTTAGATTGTGTAACTATCTGAGCCGATTGGTATGATGTAATATGCAGACCGGTTAACGTCTTAATCGTTACTCGGTACCTAAACCTTCATCAGGAATATCAGTCGATCCATGAAGCTATGCACACACACAAAGTTCTGACAGCAGTAAAGCCCTTGCTTTCTTTTATGAATATACAGAGTACATGAGACCGGGAAGATAACGCAAAACTTGAGACCGATTAAGGCATATAAAATAAATCCGCATACAACTAGTGTTGTAGTAGAGTAGTTAAACTTTTCATATTACTAGTACCGAAAACTCAGAAAGCGAAAAATAAAACTATTACTAACAATGCCAATTGATAGTACTGTAAAAGAAAAAAGACGCAAAGAAAGATGATAGACAAGCAAAAAATAAAGACTATCTTCACATATAATAAGTAGTGGAAAGATAAGCTAGCTGATGAGATCGTAAAAGTGAATAGGGTTAACTGAGATGTGCTACATATGCTGAACCATCATTTACAAAAACGCGTAGTTTCATCCGGAACAGAAAAGTTCGGAGTGCAGTTGGCCACGTTCGGGGAAAGAAATAGCAGGAATTAATGTAACCTGGCCGTTTTCTATAGCTTGTAGAAAAGTGCAGGCTATCCCGTTAGAATACCAAATATGTTGGGAGTTGACGGTAAAAAACATTATGATATGGTGTAAAAAAGTTAACATTGGCACACACATATTTGCTTCCCATAGTGAAATTCTGAACATCTAACTAACACTCATGAGTTGCCTTATATCCCGTATCCTTCTCATTTACTTACATTTCCTTACTTCCATGATTTCATTCCTATGCTACTACGCACTGTACTGAATTCAATTATGAAACTTTGGACCAAGGTGTTACGCTAGATAATCTTCTCAAATGAATAGTGTACGGCCTGAAAAGTAGTGGGTGCACTACGTTCATTGTAACTTGGAACTACTACGATCAACACTCATTAGCAGAACATTTTTACCACATGAGAGACTTTTGGAACCTACACAATAAGCCAAAAAGCTATAACTTCATACAAGCATGTTTTTATACCGTGACTAAGTATTTTATTTAATACAAATTCACCTTTCATTGAGTAAGCGCATAGTTATATCTAAGTAGCTTATACGCTAGTAGCATAAAACCTATATCAAAAGTTTTTAAGTTACGTTCCCTAGAAGACTTAAAAATCGAATCAAATGCCTCTCAGTATGCTTTAGATACCGTTCATCTGGATAATAGTGGTGTGCATATTTGATACCATATTAGTGAGGTATTAACAGAGTGACAAGTTTGAGTTGAACTTAGTGCCTTTTGCATGAGTATTCCGGAGTTAATTCGGTGAAATGGGAGCAGATGCATGAGAGTTTACAATTAGGCGGAGATCTCCACAAATAACCAGCATGCCACTTTGTAGACGTGTATTTTAATAGTGTCGTTTGGTCTGCAGAAGCAAAAGTGCTAGCATATATCTACTGCAAACATTTTAACTACATCTAGCTCTGAGGGTTGATAAATGGCCCCACGTGCTTGTTGGCCCTACAACATCCGCAGTGGCCCGACCAAAATAGTGGTCCAACGTTCATCTTTATGTGCACTACATCTTGTCCCACATTAGGTTCGCGGCCCAACCCTGAGCTTAACATCGCCCTATCTGGCCCGACAAAATTACTGACTAGAGAGATATTTGATTGACCGCTTAAAGTAGGTTTATGCTAGCAGCTAAGGCCATGGCTTGAATACCATGGACCTTTAAAAGTCTCACCACTTTGCATCTTCACACACTATTTGAAGTTCCCTAACCTGCTTGAAGACTGTTGTGTATATATTCGCACAATATCTAATATAGGCCACAGCAATTTATTCAAAGCGGCAGGGATACGTTTTAAATAGTTTAATGTCGATTCGCTCCTGTGAATTAGGTGCAGTAATTATAACTATTCATCGAATGCCGGAGATCTTTGTCAAGAGTAAGCACGTGCACTTAATGAGACCAAAATATGAGCCGGTAACCCCACATCAAATTTGAAAAATTAAGCAAACAGCTAGGTGCGTGATTAGCATTTAAACTGTGCAATCAAGTGATCATAAACAGTTACAGTAAGAACAAAATGGATGTGCTAATTAAAAATCTTACCCATTGCATATGAGCAGTTTAAGGAAAAAGCAGTTTAAAATTTATTACAAAATAATAATCCATGTTCAGCTTAATCCAAACTGACCCTAGTCAGGAGTTAAGCAAAGTTGAGTCAGATAAACAAAATGTTGAGTTTAATTTCAATAACTAGGAATTTGTCTGCAAAAATATAAAATAAGAGCTGGTTTCAGTTTCGAGTTCAAAACAATTAACAGCAAAAATATCCGACTGTTCTAAAGGGAAATACTAATAACTTCATCTAATGGGAATTGTAAACAAAAGAGAAATGATAAAATTTAAGCTGGCAATTTTACTCTTAATACTCTGGAGACCATTTACCGATGGTACAAATACCTGTTTAATTCTTTATCCTTCACATCGAGGTGAGGTTCCAGAATATTCACTGTCTATCAATTACTCCTTCTTCTGGTAACAACTAGTGAAGATTTCAGCCTAATGTGAAGCTGTTAGCGAGTATTTGGACAGTTTCAGCACTTATTTTTTCTGGCCCTGAGAAGATGGAATTACTAGTGATCTGTTTGACTAAGTAATACTTGACGCTACTGCCTATTTTCAGAGTTAAATATCGTGTGCTTACTTCATATTTCTGTCACTCGCCTCCTCAAAAGCACACGATGTGGTGATGGTTTTTTCCCTTCTCAGCCAGTGACTTCATCGTCTATGTCTTCATCCACCCACTGTTTCGACTGTCGCCTGCTTTGTGCTATGAGACTGCCAACCCATGAGTTTTCGAAAGATTTGCTCTCACGGTATATTTCCCTTAGGAAGATTTAGCAGTGGATTACACCACGAAATTATCAACCTTAAGCCTGGTGAAAATGAATATCCTAACCCATTTTATTGGCTGTTAATTGTTTCTCCAGCAACGTTATTTCAACTATGTGCCGTTAATACTCTTCCTATTTGTCGTTGCTCACCGTCATATATTGCCCTTCTACATTATCATCATATCTGTCGCAAAGCTGTCGTGTTTCACAGGCATACAGCCATGCAAACAGGAGTAAATAAAGTGTTACAAGTAACATAAGCTCTACTTGTGCAACACATAAACTTCATATGTTCGAAACCGTTTGGCTATCATTCATCCGGATGGTCTTCCTCGAGCCAAAAGTCATTGTTGGCTGACAGCTCAGGTTTCATCTGAACTGAGGTTCATATTCCATTTTAGTCTTTTTATTAGACATGTCATTCAGTGAGATAGTATCATTTACTCGACAACGTTTCTCGTTCGACCCTACAATATTCAAACTTCATTTGGCTTTCGGTAAAGCCAGTTTACTCACAAGTATGTGTGAACAGTGCTGTTTCTTTCGACGACCCTTCCCTAATGGGGCTGAACATAAGCTCTAAATAATTCGATCGAAGGAGCTTTCCTTTTTCTTCACGCTCGTCAAGACTTTCTACAGCCCAGCAACGTATACTTGAATGATAAGCTTCACATTCCATCCGAAGCAATGAACGTGTGAATGGAAAATGCAGTAAATTAACAAAGCCACACTACAGCGTCAAGCGAGCCTAGTGGATGCTGTCAAGACTGAAGGTCGAATTTGCCCCTTCAACCATTCTCAACTCTACGCCTATGATCACGCACCGTTGAAATTTTGACTTGGAGTAATTGGTTGTGAATGACTTTAGAGATTCAGAGTTTCATGTGAGGAACCAGACGAACTTACTGTGCGCCAAAATGACCCATCAGCGAGTAAAAGATGGAGAGCACGATGGTTTCCTTTGATTTGCCATTCCCTTCTGGTTGGACAGTGATAAATTATCCTCCGATGCTTTTCCTCCGTCGATTTCCTGCTCGTTCCGTCCCCTTAAGAACTGAGCTGCAATCAAGTTTGATAGCTGGAAGTTAGTGTTGAAGTATCTATGAGAAGTATCCGTGAGAAGCCGTGACCGGAGTTAAAGATGACAACTTCTTTGAATGAACAATTTTAGGCTAATATGCTGTGCCATAAATAAGCAGTAGAAGTGAGAGTAGAGATGGTCATTTGAGAAGTTAGTGAGTCCCAATGGTTCAGTCATATGGCATCTACATTCAAGAAAACCTCACATTTCTGAAGCAAATTTTAGTAATTGTTCAAATCGTCCGACGGTCTCATAGTGCTAACCATAATATAAGTGGTGGGGATTACAGTAACCATGACAAGACAAGTGAAGCGGCCATCATGGCAGATAATAATGATACAAACAATGAGGCACTTACTTGGAGTTTTCAAAGTGTGTTTCAGTTCTGAGGAGATACAACCCTTCAAAGCCTCGTCGTTTCACTAAACGCTGAAGGAAAGCTCATATGGAGTGCCGACGCAACTTCAAGCGTCGACGTTAATAAACGCACAGATATTGAAGCATGTTAAAAACTCATTCACCTACATCAAACGTGACAGACGCGTTAGCTAGCAAAGAATGGCAACATGAAAGGTTATTCGCGTCCAAGCGGGCGAGTAAACATCAGGACCGTCCGAAAGGCAACTTTCCATCAAAAATGAAATCCACTTGCCAGCTGAAAAGAAGGAAACTACGGAACCAACCACTTTCACGGTCGCGGACAGGTATTCGCGCAGGTACGTTCTGATGCTGCCTATGGTGAAGCGTCCCATGGTGCAGCGCTTCATCCATCACACCACCAGAACGAAGACATCGTTTTCCCATACCGGATAAAAGCCCGAGGCCGTTGCACACAAAAACAATATTACTTTCTACATATGCAGCACACCATTCAATCAAGTGAGAATAAGTTTCGGTCCAAATACTTGCCGGCTTTCAGAGGGTAATATCACTCTCTACCAATTCGGTCACTGGAAGATGGGATCGTAGCATTTGGGTAGAATAGATGTTAGCAGAACAAGAGTGCACAGAATTGCGTGATGGATACGCACAATTTTTCCCTTTCCACTGACAGAAATGCCAAGGTCTGCCCTTGAAAGTTACGTTTGTTGCCTGCGCAATCCTACCATTACCTTTGTTATACTTAGCTTGCCGACGATGATGAAGGTTTCCCGAATGGATATTTCTATACTGCTTCGTTTTGCCATTTTCGCTGGGTACAGAACTATGAATCTCATGCTCTCTCGTATCACTTCATGTTTAGGATTAATAATCCTGCCGCATATTGAGACTGGAGGTCGAATATCTGCATCTTACGACTCCGGCATTAGATGTCCAGTGCATTCAGTCTGCCACTTTTACAAATCATAGCAACATGTGTTTGGTAAGTTTGATGCTTTCCTGTTCAATTTTATGATGAATTGCAGGCTCTAATAATCGTTAGGCTGTCGCCAATCGGGCTTCCATCCTTTTCTGCATGTTATAGCATGCTGTTGTCAGTAAAATGACACCGTTCAACCAGTAGCGACCAATGTTAGAGCACTTGTTGGCAACCTGTTCATAACCGATCCGACCCCTCAGGCTGAAGTGTTTGCCCACCATGGGAAAGAAATACAGATCATCAGCACGTAAAATGGGAAGGGAGCCCTCCAATGAATTTGATGTCCATACACAGATCCCTCTGCATCTTAACTTTCATTGCTATGCTGTCTATTGGTCATTTGGGAATCCACATTTCGTACCTTGATATATTTTAAGACCCGGGTCTGCGCTTATTATTTTAGGTTAAAAAGGATGTATGCCACTTAGTACGTTGTGCAAACTGATGACAGGTTCTACAGCGTTAAGGGTGAAACCTTGATACAGACCCGGTAGAATTCTCAATAAGCTACTAAGGGGGTTTATGCATCACGTCACAACCACAGGTCCACCTGTGGCATCCAAAGCGCGCCGTCCAGCCCCGATAAGCTCAAAACGACGAAGACTGAATTCGACCACATGCTCGAACTGGGCATTATCAGACCATCAAACAGTCCTTGGGCATCGCCATTGCACATGGTTCCCAAAAAGGATAGCAACGACTGGCGTCCAACCGGTGATTACCGAAGGCTTAACGCCAAAACAACTCCGGACTCCTACCCGATACCTCAATACAAACCCTCGTATACTTTGCCTTTTTTATATCAATTTTTATTACCATATATTGAAACCCAAAAACGGTGAAGATAAGCGTAAATTTTTATTTTTCGATATGTTTATGTAAATAATTCCCATTTTTGCGCAACGTTTTCGTGGTATTGAAGACTTTTATTCATATTCCAGGTGCAACGAGCACTGGACGAAACGTCAAAAGGAACAGATGACCGCAATTGACGTACAATTCGATTTGTTGTATTTTATTTTTCACCTGCCACGACACCCTAGAATAAGTTTAAACAACCAGGGGCCACTTCACGCAGTGAGCCCATCGGAAGAGTTTTACCAGTGGAGAAACCACTGGGCTTTTGCTTCCGGCTGGTATAGTCTTAGGGTCCTCACGAACCCACTAGGGGGGAGTGATCTGTAGCGTCACACACTTCCCAAAATCAATAGCCTAGGGTTTGACGACTTTCGACATTGATGCTGACCTTGATAGTTTAACTGGACTCGCTAAGTTGAAGGCATCCCGTCAAGCATCCTCGCCATTTGGCACACTGTCGTGCTACGTTGCACTGCTCGCATTCCACTCTCTAGCCAGTTAGTTGGAACGCATCAGTATTTTGGCACGACCATCCAAATATACTATTCCATCCGACTAAGTTATCGTGTTCTTCCTTGGTCTCGTATTCGTGGGTATATAACAAGTTCGAATAATTAGTGATTGACCTTTGCGTCTGTCAAGTTAGCACCAGGACAGATCCTAGAACCTGATTTGCTGTCGTGCCTTGCTAGAGTGCTAGGCCGGCGGTGGCAATTTTCGAAATATACTAACCGACTGACTATTTCGAAGATGATTTTTCGTCCCAGCTTCAGTCTGCTGGTCCGTCATATTTAGAGATCTCGGCAAAATCCTTTGTGATCTCTCAGCAAATCTTCGTTCCTCTCCTTCTGGTTCACGCTCTATTTTTGTTTATACACCCTCGGCAACGTGGTGAAATAGCCCAAGCAGGGGACCGGCACCGGATTTCTATTTTATTGCCTCGGATTTTTGAGCATCAGCTCCTAAAATGGAGCCCTAGGGGCATTCTCACTTCGTAAACCTGCGAGTTAG